GCCCTCCTCGCCCGCCTGAGCCGCCCCAGGAAGGCGCCCGGCTCCGGTACCCACTCCCTGAGCTCAGGGCTGTCAGATTGGGAGGCCCACGTTCAGCTCGTCAGTCTTGCTGTTGTCTGAGGACAGGCTGACCCCAGAGCAGCCATCTTCCGTCGGGACGGCCTTTTACTCAAGTAAAGCCCGCAGAGGCACTAGCAGAGCACACTGCCTCCTCCTGGGCGAGGGGTGTGGGCGTGTACGGAGCGCTGGGAACTAGCCACAGGGCTCTCAGGCTGCATCTCACTTAAACCCTTACCCTTACCGCTGGCTGGGTCAGGAGAAACTGAGGCTCAGCTACTCAACACTCTACCAATTAGAAAGTTCTAGAGCCAGGACTCTGTCCCCAGTCTGCCTGACTCTATTACAGGTGCCTTTTCTAATACCCCTCATTGAGTCAGTAGTATCATAATTATACCTTTATTTTCGACACAACTCTGCCCAGACCCAGGCTGGCTCTGCAGAGGCCGGCAGGTGCCCACGGCTCTCAGCTGTCGGCAGCTGGCATATGTCTTACGCGAAACCCAGCCATCGCCCCTCAGGTGGTTGAGAAAACCCTCCCCACTGCTGGTAACAGCTGACTTCACACAGGCTGTGACTTAATTAACACAGCACTTTATTTCAACTTCTTATTAAACGCAGCAGCACCACGGTGCCCTCGCTGGGCACCGGCTGCCTCACCCAGCCCCGCCCAGGCTGTGTTCGAGCTGCGCCTGACGGTCTCCGGTGCTCTTACTGGGGCAGAAGCAGGGACCTGGGATGTGGCCCCGGCAGCAAAGTGGCCTCCAGTTGCTCACAGACACCGGCTCCTCCAGGCAGGTGAGGCTGCGAGAAGTAAGTATCCTGGCAGGCAAGCCCTGGGCCCCAGCAGACAACAGTCTCACCCCTCCAAGGGCATGGGAGTAACAGAGCACACAGCTGACTAGTGCCTGGGTCACACTGCCTGCAGGTGTCACCTGCTCGGGTCACACTGCACATAAGCATAGTTTCTAGACTGCCAGTCTGTCATTGTAATAACTGGTTTGGGCAGAAAAACAAACACGTACAGCAATGAGAGGGATGCACCAATCCTAAGACCGGCCCAGGCTTACTGAGCTATAAGCAGGGAGGGGATAAAGCACACTGAGCCCGGGACTGGAACATGCCTCACTGATTCCCAGGCTGGGCGTGAGAGCCGCATGTGGGCCACACCTCTCTGCACCGTGCCCAGCAGGCTGGCCACAGTGCCCGAGGCGTCACAGCCTATCCGCAGCGCGTCAGTCCACACTGGGTGCACCACAGACCACACGGCCCTCCACGCTGAAGGCACTTCCCCGCCAAGCTCTTCTGCAGAGAAATCATTCCGGCTTTTTCACGGCAATAGGCCAGAGGCAGAGTCTGCCTATGGCAGAGGAAAAGCAAGCCGCTTGCAGGGCCTAGAAAACTAGCCGGCACTGGCCCTCTCGCCTCCTGCTCCCCAGGTACGCGGGGGAGGCCTCAATGCCTGGACTCCGCAACCTCCCTCCCCTTCCCACTCTTCCCCACTCGTGGTCCACGCAGGGAGTAGGGACCGGTCTCAGCCTGCTGAGAACACAGAGGTCCTTTCCGTAGCACTTGGAGAGAAATGGACCTGCCCCCTAGGAGGCAGCATGGGACCGAGGGAAGAGCCTGAGTTCAGGAAGATGCCAGAACTTTCCTAAGGAGGTCTGTGCAGTCCCCAAGACTCTCAAAGGAGAGCCGAGCATGCTCCCCAGACATAGCCTTTGTCCCCATTCCCCTTGAGAGCTAAAATTCATCGTTTATTCTAGTGGAAAAAATACAAGACGTTGGTTCTTTTGCTGGTTCCGAAGGCTTGGGCCAGTTATGAGCCACCGGAAAAGCCAGTTAAAGGTGGATGGAAGGAATTCAGAAACCCACATGGAGAGCCCAGCGTGACTGGGAGGGGTCCATAGCCGCAGTGGGTCTGAGCGCAGAAAACCCGAGTCACGTCAGACTCCAACACGGGAGACAAAGGCTCAGCCAGTGGCCGTGTCTGCGCCACCTAGGAGCATATAACATCGGCTCCGCAGTCTCCTGCTGGTTTATACCATCTCACCAGTGGGCCAACTGGCTAAATCATGCCAAACTCGTTGTGACTGGCGTCAAGTGGCCTTCACCCAGTCCTGCTTCCTCTGGCTCTCGCCCTCTGGGAGTGTTCGGACCCAAGCAGAGGGCCCAGCTCGCCCAGGTGAGGTCTGCCCTGAGTGCCGGGGATTAAGGAGACTAACAGTGACTGATTGTTATGTAGTGTCCAGCCCTGCGCTAGGGGTTTCACCCACAATTAGTCACAATCTCAACAGCCTGGTGAGGTGCGCATAATTCACCCCATTTTCTGAAGTAAAATGCCTTGCAGAAGATTTTGTATCTCCTGAGGGGCAGAGCTGGGTGCAAAGCTCGAGTCTGACACCGTTTCTGTTTCACTCTGCCCTCTCGTCACATGAAAGACCCTGAGTGACAGGTAGAAATAGGCTTTAATGCGTTAGCCTGCGGGGCGAGGGGAAACAGGCGCCGGAACCCCCTAGATGGAAAGCCGGCAGGGAATGCCTCAGCCCATCATCAACAGTGACCCTCCCTTCTGCTGGGTTAATGAGCACAGTTGGATGGGGTTCCTGGCACAGGGCACAGCTCTGGGACCTACTGCTCCAAACCAAACTTACAACGCTGGCTGCCGGAGGAAGGCTCAGGGAAGCACACTTATTATTTTGAGTGAATTTCCAGGGAGAGGGGTTATACAACATCTAGACAAGCCGTGCCATCAAGGAGAGAGGAGGCTGTGCCAAGCAGCACCACACAGGAGGGCTGTGCCCGTTGGAGAAGGTGCCTTGACCGCGCCTGCCCATTCCTGCCCAGCACCCAGGAGCTGGCTTTAGTGCTGACCTTGACGTGCTCAGACAGGTGACCCAAAGGGTGACCTTGCTGGGGAGGTAGGCCAAACACATCCTGGGACACCCACGCTTCTCCTTTGGGGAAGCTGTGCGGTCAGAGCACGTCCGAGCGTGCTCCGCCGTCTGCTACCCGCTTTGGTCGCGCCTTCCTCTCAGGGGACCCTGCGGCCTGAGCCACGGCAGCCCCTGAACTCGGGCGTGGCTGGATTTCAGGTGGAGTCAGCCAAGCCTGTGGCTGCCGTGGGCAACCCGATGGCTCTCCCCGGTCACGAGCTGTGCCCTGGGATAAGCTGGGAAGCAGGATCCCGGAGATGAGGTCAGAAGGGGGTGACAGAAAAGTCTTCTCTGTGCTCGCGAGGGACTCTGTCTCCGCAATCCCACACGCCGTGGACCCTGTCCACCAGGGTGAGGTGGGCTCATTCCAGCTCATACAGGTGGCCAGGTAAAACACGGAGGCCAAGCTACCCTTGAACTTCAGAAAATAACAGTTTCTTAGTATATATCCTGTTTACCTGAAATTCACATTTACCTGGGCGTCCTGTACTTTATTTGCGAAGTTCGGCGACCCCAAGCCAGCATGTTGGCCTGCTGGTTTATGGGTGAGCAGTTGATTAGTTTTTTTCTCAGTTCATTTCAGTATTCAAATATTTTGTTTGTCCTTTTAAGCCTCTCGGCTTGTTAGCACAGCCTTATGCATTCCAACGTCACGCGTGATACACTTTGCATTTTTCCTTCTTTGTGTTTATTTTTATAATCATTGACCCCCTACCTTCAAGGAGGTCTTCAAGCTTCCTACATTTCCTTTTCTACTAAAACCTGTTTATGTTAAGCACCCCCACCCCTGCACACACACATCTCTCATTCCTTATATTTTATAGCCTTTTCACAGACTGTTGGTAGACGTGCAGGTGTAACTCATAAAGAGCACCTGCCTCCGCCAGTCGGCCGGGTACTGAAGGCAGCCAAGTGGCAGTCACTGGCTGGAGACTGGATTTCTAGCATGGTGGCCGCTGCCTCATCCGAGCCCAGTTCCTGGCCTGTGAGATAGGGCCGTGTGTGTGTGCCTGTGTCTGTGTCCAGGGGAGTGGGGAGCTCACCTGCAGAGAGCAGAAGGCCTGGGTAAAGGGTGGCATCCGGACCAGGTAGGAGGCAACGATGATGGCCGAGGAGTAGTGAGTACAGTAGTGGCACTGGACGGTCATGTCTCCTGCAATGAAAGGAAGGACATGCCTGGTGGCTTTCCCAGCTGTGCCGGCAGGAGGCAGACACAGGCTCCATGGTGCTCAGGAAGAGCATCAGGCCTGAATCCTGCTTCCTAGGGGACCTGCAGGCGGACGGAGCCTCGGCGCTCTGCTCACAGATGCCCTTACAGTTTGGCCGATGGTCACTACTGGTGAAAAGCGCTTTCAAGACCCTCAGCTGCAACCCCCGCGTCAAATGCTTGATAGAAAACTTTCTGTTTAAGCTAAATTCATTAGAGTTTAAGCGAACAGACCTAAAGAGAAACAATAAGGCAATAAAAGCACAGGAGGCGTGGGAATGGGCAGAATTTGTACAGGTGAAGAGCAGATGAGCCAAATGTGGGCTCTGACATTTACAGGTTATGATCTCGAACAAGTCACTAGAACTCTGCATTTCAACGTCCTTTTTGAAACGGACCATTGTTTGTATGACTGCAGGTTGGCCTGGGCCTAGAATAGAGAAAGCGCTGGACAGATGCTCCTCTCCTCTGCCTTCCCTGCCCCAGGGCATGAGATGTGAGCTCTTAGCACAGTGCTCCCCAGTCCTGGCTGCATCACATCACAGACTTAATTAAATCAGAAGTTCTAGAGATGGGGCCAGGCATCAGTAGCTTTTAAAGCTCTTGAAGTGATTCTTATGCACAGTCAGGGTGTAGACCACTGGGTTAAAGGGTTCTCTACTCATGTGTACTTATTCTAGGCTAGGAAATGGCCTAAATAGTTAACAGTTTCATTACAAAGCATCCAGATGAAGAGCATCTCACAGGACAATCAAGCTGGGATCTACCCACCTTCGGTCTTCTCCACTTCTTTGAACCTCTGGATAAACTTCAGCTTTCTTTCCTTGGTCTGGGCTCCCATGGGCTTTGAAAGATCCCGAAAAGTCTTGGGATTCGTTAAGTTCAACGTCTGAAAGGCAGATGTGCAACTGGAGTTAACTCCCCTGGACCCTCCTGTGCCCCAGCGAGACTTCGGGAGCCACGCTCTTTAGTTTTATGGTTCTCTTTATTGGTTTAGTGTCGTTTGGTCTGACCCCCTCTGGTGATTAGCAGGCATGCTGGGGTTTTATGGCCCTGGAGCCAGCGATCCGCAAAGACTTAATAGGAGGGAGATGGAAAATGAGAGGAGGGGAAGATTGAGTTCACACTGAACCTGTGCCAAGTTGACCCAAATCGGAATATCACCACCGGCTCCTGAAAAGACACTTTCAAAAGAATTCCTGTTGTCTATGAGGCCCTTGGCACAGCCCTCCTGGGGCAGTTTCTTCAATAGTTCAAGGCTCTTGTTTAGAATCAAACTGATTTTCTAGGAAGTGAGAGGTCATCTGTTTGGGTGAAAAGCAGAGGGACAGCCTCACCTCTCTGAAGGCGACTCCCTTCTGAATAATAAGGGCATGGCACATTGCCCCTTCCCTTAGGGACACAACGGTGGTGACCTGAGAGTGTTCAGGTCAGGTGTCCCCAATGTTTTATTTTAGCAGAGATGTTCTGTGTGTGAGCAGAAGGGCCTTTTGCATGTCTGTATAGAGGTGTTTACACCTCGATTCCTTTCACTAGCAGTGCCCTGGGGACTCAGGGCCTGTCTCCACCGAATACCTGCAGACGCCAGGTGGGGGCAGGAGGGAAGCAGGCTCTCCTGAGACCCCCAGGCGCCACCACTGGTGGAGACCCTCACCCAGCAGCCAGATTCCTGATTCTCCAAACGATACTGGAAACCCGGATTTGGGGGAGAAAAATCTGTTTTTCTTTTTTTAAAATATATCTTTATTGATTTCAGAGAGAAGAAGGGAGAGGAGAGAGAGAGAGACATCAATGATGAGAGAGTCGTTGATCGGCTGCCTCCTGCACGCCCCCTACTGGGGATGGAGCCCACAACCCGGGCATGTGCCCTGACCGGGAATCAAACCATGACCTTCTGATTCAGGGGTCGATGCTCATTCACTGAGCCACATGGGCCGGGCAAGAAATCTCTCCGTTTTTAAATGCCAGTAAGTAATCCAAATTTAGGGCTAAACAAAAGGGGCTGGTGAAAGAGCACTTTGTAAAATGGGAGTTAAATCTGCAATTAGCAATTTGCATTTTTGAAATACCTCAGCCTCAGGTGATCATTAGGGCAATAAGAAGCAACACGTGGCTGGCGAGAAAAGCTGTTCTGTGCTAAATGTCTTAAGTGGGGATGGGAGGTTTCAAAAAACTGAGGCCCCCTCTCCCAAATCCTCAGAGTGATCTACCCCAGCAGAGCTGGCTGGGGCTGGTCCGAACCAGGACCCAACCCCCTTCTCCCCTTACAGACTCACGCCTCCTGGCGGCCAGGGCAGGTGGTAGGGGCACTGCTCTGTAGCCTGGTCTCCCCTGTGGCGTCACCCTGGTTCACGGGACGCCTGCCTCCTTGCCCCTCACCTGTTTGCTGAGGTCCAGGAACAGGAGCCAAGCATGTGAATCATCTGGTCTGGCCACACGCCCCCCCTGTCGCTGCCTGTCGCAGTCCAGGTACTGGGGGAAGTGCACAGACCACCGCCTCTGACTGCAGCTGGGCCACAGTCGAGTGGTTGGCGCTTTCTGTCTGTGTTTCTCTCTCGCGCTCTCTCCTTTCCTCCCCCACCCCCCAACACACAAACACATGCTGATTCCAGGAACGGATCCCAAGGCTCACGGCACTCGGAGGACCAGTGTGTCCCCAGCACTGTCTCAGCAGATGAGCATCGTCTGCCTTCACTGTGGTGACTAAGCCAGGACGCCCTGTGGGGAGCATGTTAGCATTGTCCTAGCCATGTTGATGGCCCCACAGGCAGGGTCACCTTCCCACATGTGGGGCTGGACAGGAACCCAGGCAGCTGACTCAGAGGCCTCCCCCAGAATGAGCGGCGGGCATGGAACAGCTTTGGGCCAGGGGGCCAGCCTGAGCTGCAGCAGAGCTCCGTGTGCTGACTAGGGAGCTTCGATGGTCAAGGGCCAGAAGTCTCGGGACACCTGCAGGGTCCCTGTGAGCACCGTACCTGCGAGCTGTAGTCAGCCAGCACCCAGGGAAACACGGGGTACTGCATGTAGTCGTTGTAGGTCCGCCCGGCCAGCGTGTTGAGGTGCATGAGGTACTCGAAATTGCTGATGTCCCTTTTCTACCAGAAGAGACAGGGAGGGGATAAGCCAAACACAGTGGCACCTTCCTGGGGGCCACGGGTCTGACTCGGCTGCTGCGGGCAACGGCTGCAGGTGAGAGCAGGCCGCATGCCCGCCGCTGCTCCGTGCCCCGCCGCTCAGCCAGGTCAGCTCAGGGGGCCGCGCTCGTCCACATGAACGGAAGCAAACGCAGAAGAAGAGCCCAAAGCCAGGCTAAAGCATTCTTTCCTGTTAGCTGTTGGGTGTGATACTCAAAAGTTGGTTAAAATAATAGCACAAATGCTGAGGGAACTCACTGCTGACCGCGTTATGATTTGAAAATAAGCTGAGGGGACTTTGCAGTCACAGGGAAAGAGGCCCTGAGCAGTGGGCTAATTGGCCTGTCCTCCCTGGGGCCTTAGGAACTTCCTTCCCCCTGCCCTTTAAGATAACACCCACTCCCAGGGCCTTAAGACAGAGTCACGATGGAGACAGGGACTGCATCTGGGAAAAGTTCCGAGGCCACCTGGCAAACGAGCAGTCCACTGTAGCCCCATGCCACTTCAGCAGGCTGTGGTCCTCCTTTCCTTGGCCTTCTCCCAGTGACCATGAGTAACCCTGTGATCTCTGGGGGTGGCCCTCTTGGGGTCCCTTCCTCTCACTGAGAGTCCTCGCCCAAGTCAACTCACCCAGGCTGGGAGCCGTGTGTGTCCCCAGGACAAGGAGTGAATGTTGTATCCTCCTGAGTTATGTCCATTTACACGCATGTGTATNCCCAGGACAAGGAGTGAATGTTGTATCCTCCTGAGTTATGTCCATTTACATACATGTGTATGCACACAGGGCCTGTGTACACACACACACACACACACACACACCCTAGCTTCGACTCCAAGGCTCCAGAATCACCTTCAATCACTGAGATCTTTTTAGGAAATTACTTGGGACATTTTGGTGAATTAAAAAAACAAGAACCCTCTTGATTCACCCAGGATGGATACTTTCTCTCTCCACCAATGGGGCCTGAACTGTTTTCTGATTTGCATTCCCAGAGGGTTTCCTCAAACCCAGCCCTCTGAGGAGGTCACTGTACCTGCCACCTCTGCAGCATGGTCCTGTCGGAGCCAGGGTATCTCCTGTGGGACAGAAAACAATGCTGGTGACCAAGTATCCAGAGGCATCAGTGGGGAATGGGGGGACTTTCTGGGCTTTGTGGGGCCAGGACACCCAGGAAAGCCTCGGGCTGCCGGGCACAGAGCTCTCCTGGCCAAGGCAACAGATTCTAACCCAAGCTCTTCTCACCCCACTCCACCCCGATGGCGAGGTTCTTGCAGGCCCTGTCACACTCTAGGGCACTTATGCCAGAGCAGGCTGCTGCCCTAGGCATGGCCCAGGTAGAGTCCTGGGGACGCGCAGAAGCAAGCGCAGGGGCCTGAGACTTCACATGGACACCCCACAGACACACCTCGCTTTCTTCACCCTTGGGGATGTAATACATTGACATGAGAGTATAATATATGTATGTGGTTAAAAATGCAAACAGTACAAAATATGAACATGAAATAAGAGTTTTCAAACTACCTCTTTCATTCAAGAAGTATCCACAGCTAACAGTTTCCAGGAGTTCCCCATAGGCCGTCTATATGCTTGCACAGTTCTACAAACTACGCAGGCCCCACCTGCCTCATGGCTCACGGCACTGTGGGGCCTGTCCCTTCTCCCGCAGTGGACACTGCAGGCGGTCGCACTGGTGAGCCTGCCCCTGCGCTGGGCTTTGTCCTCACAGCTCATGTTTCCGTGACCACCTTCGGACACGAGTCTCTGGATACCTCGTGTCTCCATGAGAGAAATTTCTGGCAGGGATACCACTGGGCTAAAGTCTGAGCATTTTCAAGTTTTCCATGTATGGCCAAATTGTCCTCTTAAAGTGCTGTGTCAACTTCTATTTCTACAAATACAACTAAGAAATACAAATTGAACAAAGCAATGCCACCTTTGATCAGTCTGGCAGTGACGGTTTAGGAGGGTGCCGAGGCAGT